CCTCTGTACGCGTAGGCCCCCTTTCACGCTGGTGGTTCAAGCCAGTGGGAGACCACATTAACTGGCTCCCGAAGTCACATAAATGCAGTGATCCCCGCCTCTCCCAACAACACACACACGCTCTCAAGATTGGTTTCGCCCTGCATGGCTGTTGAATTTGTGTTGTTCCCTTGTCTTGAATCAGGCAATTTGGCTGACTCTCTTCATTCTTGACTGTGTGTATCCATTGTAGAGGGTTGTTCTTTGTATATTCATCACAATTTGTTTACCAGTACCGTACTGCCTTGACAGTGTCTATCATTGGGTTTGAGATACGCGTGACTGCTGGACACAGAGCCAACGATATCAAGTTAGACGAAACGAGGTCTGTCTTAACGGTAGAGTTCAGGTAAGCTTGGTGTACGTTAAAGATTAAGGTTTGGGTTAGCGTGGAATGTAGGGATAGGGCAGCGGTTAAGATTGGCTTTCCGTTTTACTTTTATGTTATGAATAGGATACGGGAGTGCTCACATACCTCTAGGTAGGCTAAATAACGAAGTTTTAGCACTGCTTTTCCTCGCATGAGCTCCTTACAAAATATTATCGTTGTGACCATTTACTTGGTGAGAAGTCAATTTAGCTCATTTAGATAATTAGTTTTTGAGGAATACAATAGACATTAAAAGAAATTCTTTAGGAAACAGTGGTGTATTGTGTGATTTTTCGACGCTGGCACACCAGGTCGTCGTTAGACGGATGGAAATTGTACAAAACTGTTAATTCAAACTGCTAGCTGACAGAAGCTTATATAGTGGGTAAGCTGATAATCCGTAATCGTCACCCGCATGTGATTATGCGGTCAGTGGGGAAGATACGTTCTCACCCGCATGTAATTATGCGGTCATTTGGGAACTAATTGTCGACCGTAATTAATCGTGCGGTCGGTGGTGATTGGTTTTTGTTTCCTCTAGTCCGGATAGGCTGTCGTCTCTTCCATTCTTCCCTGAGGTTAGTATACATCGCGTCCAATTTCACGTGCCTATTGACGCACGAGTCGTCGGAGTTGATGACATCTAAAAACTCGCGGCCTTTCTTGAAGTCTGTCAGCATCTGTACGGACTTGCGACCGAGTGGTAGGAGAGCGTTCGCAGTCGCATACGTGAGTCTTGCGCTTCGTGGTACCTCAGCCTCGGAGAGTGACATATTTATTAGTTTGTAAATTGCAAGAACAGCAGGATTTATTGGATCCATAAATTTCAGGAGCGCTCATCAGCTGTTACCTCTCATTACATAACATGAATCTGACGGAAGAGAAATACAAAATAATATTCATACAAAAAAAATGATTCAGACTGCAAGATCAGAGGATGTGGCCAAGAGGCAAATGA